CCCTCCCCGCCGCGGGCGGGGTGTCATGGCGGGTGGCGGCCCCCCGGGGACTGCCCGGTTTCGGGGGTGCGTCCAAGCCCGCTCTGCCCCAAACCGCGTCCCCAACCCTCGCCCACCACCTCCGTCACCCCGCCAAAGCCCAGGGGCAGCAGGCCCACCCGCTGCTGGGAGCTGCTATCCCCCGCCTGACCGTCCCTGAGGAGACCCCCTGCTCCCTCCACGATTTATAATCAATATTCATTTACAGAGCTCAAGCCAGCTTCGGTTTTATTAAGCTTCCTCAGTTTGTTAATACATAAGAGTAGGGGTAATCCAAAGAGCCAGTCTCCTTTTTGGGAGAGCTCTCGAACGTGTTTATAAACCCATTAATCACCCCTTTACGTGTCCCGCTGACCATATATAACAAAGTGATTGAAGTTATTTGGACCCCGCCTGAACTTGGCAGCCGTTTTCCTGGCTTTTTCTGCTCACAAGGGCGCTGGGGCATAGTGGGAGCTCGCGGAGCACCCCGGCAGCATTCGCATCGGCGTCTTATTTTAAAATGCTGAATTTTGCTACTGTTTGCACCTCACTTTTTATCCTGAAGAGGTTCCAGACCGGCTCACCAGCGGATACAACATTTTCCCTTGGAGGACGTCCAGTTTCACACGCAAGAAGGGGCTGTTTGCACATCCCATGCAACCACAAGCGATCGTAACACTGTCTGCCAGGATCCCCCCAGGAAAAGCCCAGAATTCAGTGAAATGGAGACAAAATCAGACTTTCAGTAGGTGGTATGGGCAGAATTCAGATGTTTGGTAGAGCAGAATAAAAATCATCCCACGTATGTGATGGTGCTGCACATAAAACGAGGCTTAGCCCCTTCAACAGCAAAGATGCTTGCTCCGTTTCCAACAATTTTTTATTTCGCGTTTGATGCGCGTTGCGTCTTTCACACACTTGCAAACGGATTTTTTGAGCCCAATATTGGCTGCTTTCCATGCTGGAATCAATCACATCCTAAAATTACCCCTTTATACTGGAGAGTGTTAAACCAGAAGGACTAACCTGTTGCCCTTTAAACAAGTCAGGACCCTGTCTGTCTGTCTGTCTGTCTGTCGGGAATCTGGGAACAGGAAAATACCTGTGGCGTTTGCAGAGCTACCGTAAGGGTATAATCCCCTGCCTCCCGGTGTGCAAGCAGGAGGAACTCTTAAAAAAATTAACGACTGCATAATTTCATTAAAAATAGAAGCCCTGCAAAACTAACAAACTGTTTTGAAGGCCTCCTCATATCGCTAACTGTATATCAATAATATACAAATATATATTGAGAGCATATATTACCCTAAATTACATCTTCTTATATGGCTTTGATCTTTGTCCCGCAGGGTTTGCAGCCCAGCCCTGTCCGAGCGTCTGAGAACCAGATGGGGTGTGGGGGGGGAAAGCAGAAAAACTACATAACGGAAACCAGATTTAAATAAATGCAGTGACATAATCTGTACGGTTCTTGGCAAGAAAAGAGCGAGTTTGTGCTTTTCATATCCGCTTTTTCAAGAAGATGTAAGTGTCCCTTTTAAGAAATGGTTCTAACAAACAGTCCTGACTCTTCTCCTATTAAAGTCAGCAGCAGCCAGCTGCTCGGCCTCCGCCAAGGCGCCCGGCCGAAGCGTTGCCACCTCGCACGAACTAAGGCTCGCCCAATAATGTTTTTCTCCTCACTCCAGCTGATATTTGATATTAAGAAACTCAGCCTTCCTTTTAAAAAAGGTGCTGGTGTGAGTGCCAGGGTGCGTGGGAAGCTCTAGACCACCTCGTCACATAGAAAATCTTGGAAATTCATACTCGAAAAGCTCAAAACACTAAGGAAAAAGTGCCTAATCTGTTCATCTTTGTTATTTCTAAGCTGAGGACGGATGTAGAAGAGAGAACCGAGACAATTCATTGTTTGAATTGCCCAGGACTGACAATATTGTTATTGGATTTTAGGATTCTTCCACTCCTTTTGCAGTCAAGCAATACAAATGTGTATTTGGCACAATTCCCTTGGACACACTTGGAAAATAAAATCTGTGTTATTTTACGCCAGATGTACAGGACACAGAAAAATAAACACGAGATAATGGGACAACTATAGCCGTTTGGTGTTTAAAGGAAAGACAACCCAGAGCGATGTCTGTATAATTTTTAATGGCAAATCATAGTCCCTAACATCATTATATTATTCTGTTACAGTTTTTTCACACGCTGTAAAATACTCTGCAGTAACTATATTTTTAAAATCCTAATTAAAGAGAGGAAAACTCTGTGACAGCAGAAAGAACTCAAGGGGACACAGAAAGGCTGTTTAAATTGCTGAGTGCTATCTATCCATCTAAACTCACCACACACCGCATTTAGCCCTTCGTTTGCAGCAAAAAAATCAGCGCTCCAGAGCTGGCATAGTGCACATTTCCTAATCGTTCCAGTTTATACCCCAAATTATTGGCAACGCAGAGCAAACTCTGGTCCAACGCCCTGGGGGGGATTGCTCCTGTCTTAAATGGGTCAGAATTTGCTTTATGCCCTAAACCATGAGGATTTCTAGAGCTTCCAACGAGGATAAAAGCAAGCAGCAGGAAGGAGAGGGTTGGGTAGCACTTCCCAGCTGCAGCGCATCTCCAGGAGCCCTCAAATCCGCCCGTAAAGCTGCGTCTCAGCACCCCAGCTCTCGGGGCAGAGGTGAATTAAGCAAAAGCAGCGGCACAACCAGAAGCAAAGCCCGAACACCAGATGCGTCCTCCTGAGCTGCTCCCATGTGGTTATAGGACGGCAAGGGAAAGACGTAGGAACCCGCCGAACCATCCCAAACCCTGAAGGAGCTGAGAGACTTGCGTCTGTGCGCTGGGCAACAAGGAGAAGGGAGGGATGCGTGGCTTGAGCACGGGTTTCCCCACGGAGCAATCAATCCGCCTACGGTGAAACGAAACGGGGCAAAGGCCCAGATCCGCTGTATTTATTTTGGCAAAACTCCTCGCTGCAAACGGTGGGAGTTTTGCTTGAATAAATGAGATTTAGGGCCCAGACAGAGCCGAGATGGGAGCCCGCATGCGAGATCGCTTCCTGCAGGCGCGCAGCAGAGATCAAGGTTACCTTCCTCTTCCTCTTGGGACGTGATCACGCACAGGCTGTTGCGTGTCTCTACCCCTCTTATCTGCTAAGGCATTTCTGATACCAAGTCCTCCCCGGCGTTAGCAAAACAGCAGTGGTGCCTGCGCTGCGTCACCGCTGACAGCTTGTGCAAAGGCTGAGTTTTGCAGGAGAGCGACTGGCGTGAGCCAAACGAAGCGGTTTTGAGGTAGGAGCTCAGGACACGGGGAGTGAATTCCCATCTGGACAGAAGTCTGGGCAGCATTCCCGCTGGCCGGAAAAGGCCAAGATTTCATCCGAAGATTTCACTCTGCAAGCCCTACCTCCCCTTTTCCCACCGCCTGCAGCATTTTAGGAGCCACCGCGTGTGGAGGAGGAGGAAGAGGAGGGATTTGCAGACACATCCCAGGGGTCCCTCGCCCCAGACCCACGCACCCACCCTGCCCTGGGGAGGGGGCGGCTGCGTTCGGACCCTTCGGCCCTCCACCGAGAGCCCAAAGCCACGGCTGTTTGCTGGGGACTGGCACCTCTTCCCGCACCAGCAGGAACTGGCAGCGCTGGCAAACGCAGTACAGTAAAGGAGCTCTTTAAGCCTCGGTGTTTATGTAAATGTGGCTTTAACTTTAAACCTCTCGGCTTTGTGGCTGCCCTTTTTATTCGCGTTCGCTTTTTTCCTTTGGCTCCCCTTGAATATACCACTATGATTTCCAGCTTATCCTTCGGGGAATAGATATATATATATTTCATATATTTAGCTAAATGGGCCATTTTCCATCCATGTTGACCGTTGATGCGTCATCACTGACTCACTCACGCCAGTGAAGAACCTGACCCAATATATTTTCTCTCCAGGTATATAGTACACAGCATTGTGATTCTGTAAAGCAAGCTTCGGGAGGTAGGTAGCAAATTAATCCCAGAAAAAATAAACTCGTGGAAAGGCGCGCTGCGCTGAGACAGGGGCTGCACTGTGCCGCCCTTCCAGGCAGTATTTCTGTATTTTTCTTCTGGAAAAGCTCCCTTAGGACACGGGAACTGGCATTTTTGGCTCTCAGCCTCAAGTTTCCACCTTTCCTGGAGGGAACACTTGCCTGAGAGCAGTTTTTGTTAATTGTTACTTATTGCCAGAGTCTAAAGGGTCATTTAATCACTGACTGATGCTGTACCTTCTATCAGTGTGCTCCCAGCTGTGCCTAAAACACACCAGTTGCCTCTGGGACATATTCACAGCACCTCTTTGTCACTTAAAAAACTCTCTAAGCTAACGGCTACATTTACAGCTCAAGTGTGCCCAGGGTACTTTAAGAGTTGGGAGTTTAACAGTATTAAAAACCCCTAAAATAGTAGGGTCATCAAAAATGCGGGGGGGGAAATTTGGCTGTAAAGCTTCTGTAAGCAGTTCCCGAGGAACACGTTTACTAAAAGCACATCCGCAGAACTGTGTTGTGCTGCTCACTTTGCCATCTCAAGGCAGGAACGGTGCTGCTGCTTCTTGGCAGGAGGTTTCTCCCCTTTCCCAGCTGGATTTTTGGCTGCGCTGGGGAACAGCCCCGCGGCCACGGGGCTCCAGCACAGGCAGGACCACGGCTTTTCCCAAATGAGCCTGGCCACAGACCAGTGTTCAAAACACCCGCTGGCCGCAGCACGAGGGAGGGCAAAGATCCTCGTTTCACGTTTGCAGCACTAACGGGTGGTCAGCCCCCCCAGGAGAGGTACAGCGTCACTGCAGCATCGCTCCTGCGCCCAGCCGGGCAACCCTGCATCCCACCCGCCCCGCAGCACCCTGCTCACCCGCGCCAAGGC